AAATACATGATTGTGTTCCTGACCCTATAGTGCTCCTTTAAGCAAGAGTATGTGAAGAGTAGTTAAGGTTGCCACCTTCCTTGGAAAAAAATACCAGCCTTAATCATTTGTATAATTAATTAGTTATGCGTGACATCACATGATGTAAATCACAAGGAGTGACATCAGAGAAAATTCTGTAAAATCACCAACAAACTACTCACAGTTTGATTCTGCTGTATAGATGGATTGCTCCCAGTGTCTCGTCTCCCAAGTCACCCAGTGTCTCAGTGTCCCTATGTATCACAGTGTCAGTGTCCCCATGTCGCCCAGTCCCCTAGTCTCCCAGTGTCTGTGTCCCCATTTCTCCCAGTGTCCCAATCTCTCAGTGTGTCCCCATGTCACTGGGGACACTGAGAGACATGGGGACACTAAGAGACCCGGGGACACTGGTAGACATGGGGACACTGAGACATTTTGGGAAACTGGGAGAAATGGGGACACTGAGACACTAGGGACACAGACACTGGGAGACATGGGGACACTGAAACATTTGGGGACACTAAGACACTAGGGACACAGACATGGGAACACAGACACTGGGAGACTAGGGGCACTGGGAGACTAGGGGACACTGGCTGGGAGACAGACACTTGGGGACACTGGGAGACATGGGGACAGTTATGGACATAGACATGTGGACACCAGGCACACTAGGGACACAGACACTGGGAGACTAGGGGATACTGGGAGACTAGGGGGCACTGGTTGGGAGACAGACACTTGGGGAGACATAGGGACAATTGTGGACATAGACATGGGGACACTGGGACACTAGAGACACTGGCCATGTCCCTATGTCTCACAGCGTCCCCATGCGTCTCAGCATCCCCTAGTGTCTCAGTGTCCCCATGGTTTCCAGTGTCTCCAAGTGTCTGTGTCCCCAGGTCTCCCAGTATCTGTGTCCCCATGTGTCCTAGTGTCTCAGTGTCCCCTAGTGACAGTGTCCCCGTGTGTCCCCTAGTGTCTGTGTCCCCATATGTCCCCAAGTCTCTGTGTCCCCTAGTGTCTCAGTGTCCCCATGTTTTCCAGTGTTCCCAGGTCTCCCAGTGTCTGTGTCCTAGTGTCTCAGTGTCCCCTAGTGTATGTGTCATCATGTGTCCCCTAGTGTCTGTGTCCCCTAGTGTCTCAGTGTCCCCTAGTGTCTGTGTCCCCATGTGTCCCCTAGTGTCTCAGTGTCCCCTAGCGTCTCAGTGTCCCCATGTGTCCCCTAGTGTATCAGTGTCCCCATGTGTCCCTGCTGCCTTTCCCCCCATCCCTCACTTACCTGAGCTCTAGAGCTGCTGTCTGGACTCTCTGTGCTGTGTAGCTGCTCCCCCCCACGGATCAGTGAGTAGTAGAGAGGGGCAGGGATAATCTGTAACTTCCTATCCCTGCCTCTCTCCACACACAGTGACACCCTACAGGCCGGTGCTGGTATTGCAGATTAATTTCCATTTATTATGAGAAAATTACCTGCATTTGTATTGCCGGTATTACTGCAATACAGGCACGGCCAGGTACACTAAATACACTAAAATGAGAATTCAAAGGGAATTCAAAATTAATTTCAAATTTAAGGCATAAATATCTAAACTGGAAAAATTCTCTAAGCTGGCTATGCTTCCAAATCGGCTACTTTTACCTTAAAGGAACATTATAGGCACCAAGTCCACTTCATCTCAATGAAGTGGTGTGGGTGCCATGTGTCCCAAATTTTAACCCTGTAGCTGAAAACATTGCTATTCTGCAGGAAAGGGGATATCTTCAATATGACAGCCTCTAGAGACTATTCCATGAAATAACAGAGTAACACTCAGCGAGACCATCTGATTGGTGCTGGCATTTTCAATAATCTCAGCCAAAGAGGTGGAACTTCCCCGATGAGACTAGCAAAGCAAGGGGCTAAAAGGTAAGTTAACTATATTTTTTAACCTTGGCAGCGCTGCATCGATCACCTAAATGATGACTAGGGCGCTATAGCATTTGGAATACTTGTATTTATAATGCTATCGTGTTCCTTTAAATTTTAAATTCACTTTGAATTCTCACTTAAAGGGACATTATAGCACCCAGACCACTTCAGCTCATTGAGAAACTGCAATGTTTACATTGCAGCACTAAGTCTGCCTCCACTAGCTGTCACCCAGACAGCCACTGGAGGCACTTCCTGGATCCAAAAGGACCTTTGGTCCGGTAACTGATGTTGGACATCCTCATGCTCTGCGTGAGGACCTCCAGTGTCAGATTTTTGCCCATATGAAAGCATTGGATCACGCGCATTAGCACCTGCTCATCGTGGGACATCGGAGTAGGTGGAGTCGCTGCCCAGCGGCGCAGGGATAAGATAAGTAAATTTACATTTATTTAATGTGGAAAGGGGAGTGGGAGGAGATGGGGGGACAGAGGGAGCTATAGTGCCAGAAATACAGCTTTGTATTCCTGGCACTTATAGTATTCCTTTAAGTGAATAAGTCTGTTATTGGAGAAGCACTGCAGTTTAGGAGGGAAGGATAAAAAGGAAGCATTACTCATCTGCCAACATCTGACATGGCTAAGGTTGCCTACCCGTGATAGGGTGCCCAACTTTTTTTTTTACCAGTCTTTTTCCTTCCCCATATCAGCATACATAACTCAGCCTCCAGATGTTTTTTCCCCCCAAAGTCCATTTAATTTCACTGTCTTTAGCTTTTCCAGCGTTCCAAACATGTTCTTAACAGCCATACAATCCAGCCTTCCTACCTACCCTTCTTTCCATTCTAGCCTCATTGAATTCTCTGATTTTTTTTAAATTCCCCCTTTCCCAACCTTATGTAATAGCCAATGATATCCCAACAGCCTTACGTTATATAACTGACACTGCCCTTATATTTCCTGCTGGCTTTATTGCTCTCCACGTCACTTTTATTTACACACCAGGTTTATCTTACACTCAATCTTTTTATTTCTCCTTAATTTTCAGACCTACATTTATCATTCCTTCTGTGACTTTATTTTCTTTTTCCACTCATGCAATGTCAGCTATATGACACTTTGATAAAAAAATTACACCATTTAATAAAACACTGAAAACAACTATAACAACATTTTAAATGTGATTTGTGTGATAGTATATTAAATATTTAGCAAATGGCATCACAATCCAGCTCAGTGCAGGGGCACTTAAGTGGGCTAGAGCGGGGTGAAACAGGCTGCAGCGGAGGAATAGGGGACTCTTGTTTAGGGGATAGAGGCTGTACACATATGCGGCCACACACAGTGATATGGAAACACAATAACAGATACAGACACATACACTGGCACACCCACAGATACAAACCTATACCTACACAGGGACACACACACACACTGGCACATAGATACACACATACCTACACATGCACACTGGCGAAACCGCACACACACACACATCCCTACACATACACAGAATGACACACATACCTTCACATACACAGATACAAGGTAATAGAATATACAGGCATAACTCCAGGTACTGAAGGTGTATTTATTGGAGGGTAGAACACGTTTCAGCCCTTGGGGGCCTTAATCATGTTTAAGTCCCTCTAGGGCTGAAAAGTTGCACTTTTATGTGGTGTTCTACCCTCGAATAAATACACCTTCGGTACCTGGTGTGTTGCCTGTATATTCTATTACCTTGTATTGTTGGACGGATTAGCAGTGTCTATCTATTCCAGAGCACCTTTGAGGCTGTGGACCAGAGTGAAAAGCGGAACCTGAGTGCAGTGGACGACGTTGTCTGTGGTACACACACAGATACATAATCACAGATTCACACACTGACACTCCGATACACACAGATGTCCACATACCTAAACATACACACTGACACACACAGATGTCCACATACCTAAACATACGCACTGGCACACAGAACACATACACACAGATGTCCACATACCTAAACATACGCACTGGCACACAGATGCACACATACACACATACCTAAACATACACACTGACACACACAGATGTCCACTGACACACACAGATGTCCACATACCTAAACATACACACTGGCACACACAGATGTCCACATATCTAAAACATACACACTGACACACACAGATGTCCACATATCTAAAACATACACACTGACACACACAGATGTCCACATATCTAAAACATACACACTGACACACACAGATGTCCACATACATAAACATACACACTGACACACACAGATGTCCATGTTGTGGAAATAAGGTCTACACATATTTCCTAGTTAGTGAAAAATGTCTATTTACTCATTTCACGATATATATATATATATAGCTAAGCACACACGTTATAATTAAGATGGCTGCTAGAAGCTTCTAGCTCCTTTCCCCCCCCCTTCCCTTTCTCCTTCCTAACATCGACTAACTACCTCGTGCACCAAGATGGCGCCGGGAAACCGTGGGAGACCCTCATGGCCCCGGTGACATCACCTACAGTAGGCAGAGCATTGAAGCAACCACTTAACACCTAGCCAATTATTGATGTATTATTCCATGTTATCTCTGACAATGCTTATGATGTAATTTTGCTTTAAAAGGGACTTGCCGTCCCCTCTGAATAAACTTTCCTCAAGTTATTCAACAACCTGAAACCTGTGTCTGGTGTGAATTACTTCAGGGAGCGTGCACGCATTGTTTCATTGATTTGGCCAGGGGCAGATACACAAAGAAATAATCAATACTTTAATTGATTTTTCCATTTCAATTGGCGCCCAACGTGGGGCCACCGGAGGGCCGGTTCGGAGGGCCGGAACCAACGGACCGGAGCGGACCTCCGGAAAGTGGGACAAGCGGAGCCTGATCACCTCCATAATACAGCCGTTGCCTGTGTTATTCTCCTGTTTTGTGTCGGTCTGTCTCCGAGTCCACTTCCGGCTTCCAGAAGGCTACTAGAGACAGGTAATTAACTCATCCGGTGTGCCTTTTAAGGTGAACCTGTCGATTGTCTATCTGCCTCCTGTATTTGTTTGAATGTGTGTGACGGCCGGAGTGTGTGTTTTCCCCCTTTTTAAAAGACAATAGCTTGACTGCCTAGCGGGCAGGGAACGCATTACAGCCGGTGGGGCTGGGATTTTAAGTTTGCTTGACTGCCTAGCGGGCAGGGAACGCATTACAGCCGGTGGGGCTGGGATTTTACAGCCGGTGGGGCTGGGATTTTAAGATAGCTTGACTGCCTAGCGGGCAGGGAACGCATTACAGCCGGTGGGGCTGGGATTTTATGTTAGCTTGACTGCCTAGCGGGCAGGGAACGCATTACAGCCGGTGGGGCTGGGATTTTATGTTAGCTTGACTGCCTGGCGGGCAGGGAACGCATTACAGCCGGTGGGGCTGGGATTTTACAGCCGGAGGGGCTGGGATTTTAAGTTAGCTTGACTGCCTAGCGGGCAGGGAACGCATTACAGCCGGTGGGGCTGGGATTTTGTTTGTTTATTACTGTGCTCTCATTAATACTTGTGTTATACTGGGACCAGCCTGGTGGGTGAAGGCTGAGGATTGCTATACTTCGTTTATTCAGCACTGGTGTCATTAACATGTACATGGCCATTTTACTCTCTGTCATTCTGTGGTTCTTGTTTAATTGTTGTTACAGCGTGGGTACCCTCGGTGTGTGCGTGTGTATTGTGTGGTTAGTTCTGGACTCCGGAGTCTATGCTCATTTATATGTTTGTGATTTTTGCAAATGTCTTCTCATTAGCGCAGCCACGTTCATCTTTTCTTTTGTGCTTTATCTCTCCTGTGCCTGTTGCCCAGAGCTATGTTAGTCACCCACGCTCATTCGCTCCCGTCCGTGACCACCACCCCGGGTGGGCGGATCTCCGTGACTAGTTTACGTTTGGGGAAGACGCACGGGGCTCAAGTTCTCGTGGCAGTCGAGCACTGTAGACACTCCTTCTCCCCTCCTTTCTTATACCTCCTCTATCCATCTGTCTTTAACGAGTGGCACGCTTTGTTTGGTCAAGATGGGGCAGGAACATGCTAGACCTGCTAAAGGTTTATTGGCTTGTGATATTGTGAAAGAAAGGGCAGGGGAAGATGCTATGATGAAACTTAAAAAGATTGCTAAGGTGTGTGGCTTTCAGATGTTACCCAGTGGGAGATTGCAACCGGAGTTTTGGAGAAAGCTACTCATAGATAAGGAAGGTTTATTGTTGGATAATGGACTGACAAAGGTTGCAGAGGCTTGGTATCGTGTGGCCAGAGGTTTGAAACGGGAAGGATGGGTCGAGGAAGAGTTGGAATTTGAAGGGCAAATTGTGCATGTTTACCATAGGAGTGTTCACAATGATGATGTTGTTTCCATTGTTCCACGGCCACCACCCTATGATGGCGCCCAGAGCGCGACAGTAAATTCCCGCCCTGCTTCTCCCGTCACAGCTCAGACCCCACCCCCCGGGGGTGTGCCTACAGCCCCCACTCCCCTATGTCCCGTACTCGGTGTAGACGGAGCTTACTATTTCCCAGTGCCACATCACTCGTTCCCACCCACTCCCATGCCCCAACCCTCCTGTGACCAGACCCCCTCTTTCAACCATCATCCCGCCATGTCCATCGGAGCCCCCCACCTCCATGCCCTCCGTTACCTTTCCCAGCGCCAGTCCTCACCCCGAGCACTGCCCCGACTATTCCCGCCTCGACCATGGAAGTTCCATCCCCCTCCTCCTCTCAGTCCCTCTCCACTTTGAGTACCCCTTCCCTAGTAGTCCCCGCTCCTTCACCCTCTCCGTCCTACGCCCCCCGCTCCTACCTACCCAACCGACCCCGTCTCCCCGGACCCCTGTCCCCCGGTCGACTCTCCTTCTCCGGTATCCTCAGGAAACCCCGTGACCCCTACCCCTGCACCCCCATTGTCCCCCACTCCTTCTCATCCCCTCTCCTCCTCCTCCTCATCTTCCAAAGATCCCCCGTCCCTACTCTCCGCTCTCATGAATCTTGTTCAGCCCGTTAGTCCCGGTTCCTTTACCTCCGGCCCCTTATCCACAGATACCCCTCCCATCCTCAAGGATCCTCTCACTTCTCCTCCAGCGTTACCTCCTCCTGAAGCCCCAGCCTCCTCTGCCTTGTTGCCTCCTACTCCCGCGGCCGATTTGCCGTCCCTGAGCTCCGCCCTCACCGCCCTAACCCAACCCATTGCCGTCACCCCTCCAACTCCTCCTCCAGCGTTACCTCCTCCTGAAGCCCCAGCCCCCTCTGCCTTGTTGCCTCCTACTCCCGCGGCCGATTTGCCGTCCCTGATCTCCGCCCTCACCGCCCTAACCCAACCCATTGCCGTCACCCCTCCTACTCCTCCTCCAGCGTTACCTCCTCCTGAAGCCCCAGCCCCCTCTGCCTTGTTGCCTCCTACTCCCGCGGCCGATTTGCCGTCCCTGATCTCCGCCCTCACCACCCTAACCCAACCTCCCGTCGCCATCCCCCCGGCCTCTTTTCCCTTGTTACCACCCCCCGACATCCCTGCCCCCCCGACCTTGACACAGGCCCTTGGTCCCGTCCCTCCGACCCTTTCCCCCGTGACCCCTGACACACACATGACCAATGACCTGTCCGGCTCAATATCCGCCCTCTTCACTGCTGTTACTTCCCTAGTTACTTCCGCGATCCCCGTACCGCCTCCCATTGACGTACCTCCTCTTCCTCCTCCCCCTCCCCCCGAGCCTCCGACCCCACCCTTGTCTCCTGCCGATGTCCCCGAGCCCTCCGATCCAATCTCTGCCCTTGCACATGTCCTAAATACACACCTTTCACGCCCAACCCACCCGGCCCCTGTGACAGCCCCTTCCACGGCTTTGGTCCCTCGTGTCCCTTCCGCCAGTCCTAGTTACCCAATCATGGTGGTTGGATCCGAGGTGTCTGGGACATCTGACCAGCCCTATGCAATGGGTGCCTCCCCCCAGGCCTCGGGTTTCCACCCAGTTACCTCACCTACCACAGCCCTCCCTGTTGTCCCCGCTACAGCTACCCCTGAGGCTACCCTCCGCCGTGGCCCAGTGTTGCCCGAAGAGATTGTTGTGGTTGAACAGAATTCACCCCAGGTGGGGGTGAATAGGCTCCCCCAACAGCACACTATCCCTCAAGGTTACATCCCGATCAACCATGGTGCGGATGGTGCACCGCCTATGTATGTTACCTTTAACCCTTCCCAAGCTGCTACCCTTGTGACCTCACTCCCTGATCCTGAAAAACACCCTATGCCCTTTTTCCGCCGGATGGCTCAGATCCGTAAAACGTACTCCGCTGCTTGGCGGGATCTTATTAGTCTATGTGAAATCAAAGCCGGTGATGCATACTGGCCAATCATGGAACAGAGCTTTAATGACGCTCCACTTACTTCTGATACTGACTTTCGTTCTGGTGAAATTTTTTGTGAACAGCTTCGTGCTTGGGCACAGGATAAACTAGCAGATCAGGCTACTTGCATTAATGACATTATACAGGACAAACTTGAGACAGTTGAGAAGTATCACTCTAGGTTGACTCAGACTTTCTCAGACTTAGGGTTTAGTACCTACAACAAAGCACACACCCAGATGCTATCTGCAGCCTTTGTGGCAGGGCTTAGAGAACACATCCGTAAGGGGTTAATCTTAGCTCGGCCTGAGTATAGAATTATTCCACTGGACACTCTTTTGCTGGTTGCCAAGGGCTTAGAATCTGTTTTGCTACCTACACAACGTAGACCCAGTCCTCTGATGTATGCTACCTCCACCCCATTCGCAGGTCCAAGCCAGGTTCCTCAGATGCTTCCCCAACAGTACACCCAGCCCCCCCAGACACTGCCTGCGCCAATTCCTTTCTCCCGTGACCGGTCTGTCACGACAATCCGGACCTGCTTTAATTGTAACCAGCCAGGTCACTTTAGAAGAGATTGCCCACACCCTAGAGTGTTCCGCCAGCAGACTCCCCGGTACCAAAATCCACATGTCACCAGTTACAGTTTCCCCTCCACCGGTTATCTCCCTGCCCTACCCCATCCACAGTTGCCTCAGTTACCTCCTCCACCTCCTCCTCCTCCGCCTCCTGAGTACTCCCAAGCCCGGCTCCCCGCAGCAGAAGCCCGTGCATACACCTCGCCCTCCGCTGAAGGGTATGATACTGATGACTTCCAAGACAACCAACCTCATCCCCGCCATGCCCTCCGTCCATCCCGCCCACCCATGCATACTGCTAACCCTCCCTCCACCTCCCGCCGGTACCAGGGACCAGATCAAGCCCACCTAGATTTATTACAATAGGTAACTGGCAAGCCTGTGTCAGCAACCCCTGCCATGGCAGTGTCTGCGGGGGATGGAGGAGGGCCTTTAGCTACTGTAGTTCTCCCCGTGGAGGGTCACCCAACCACCTTTTTAGTTGACACAGGTGCAGCCCGTAGTGTCCTTAGGGAACAAGACCTGCCAGACCCTTCCTTCCTATCTGACACTGATGTCTCCTGTGTTGGGGTGGATGGTACACCACGCAGTAACCCCCTTACCAAGCTCTTACATGTAGGCTCACATATCCTGTCCCGTTTTGTTGTTTCCTCCACCTGCCCCATTAACCTCCTAGGTGCCGATGTTCTCTCTCGGCTCCAGGCTTCCATTACCTTTACTGCGGATGGACAGGTTGAGTTGACAACCCCCTTATCACAGAAGGATACTTCTGTACTCTGCTCACTCCCAATTTTGTTGAATCTAACTGACAATACAGGGAATGCACGGGTCACACACACCCCCAGTGCCCTGGATCGTATCCCCCAAGAACTTTGGTCCACAGGCCCGGATGATATTGGACGCTTACATGTACCCCCAGTCCTGGTCCAGCTCCTGCCTGGTGCACTCCCTCCTCGTAGACCTCAGTATCCTCTGAAGCCAGCACAAGCTGAAGCCATCACCAAACAAGTTGAGACCCTGCTTACAAAAGGTGCCCTCACCAAGTGTACATCTCCATGCAACACCCCTCTCTTCCCTGTTAAAAAGCGAACTGTTAAGGGCCAACCCGACCAATACCGTATGGTACAGGACCTCCGTGCTGTTAACGAGGTAACCATAAAGGACACTGCTATTGTTCCAAATCCTCATACCCTTTTGTCCCAAGTGCCACCAACTTCAACAATTTTTACTGTTGTGGATCTGGCTAATGCCTTTTTCAGTGTTCCCCTTGATCCCTCCTGCCGTTTTCTCTTCGCCTTCACACATGAAGGACAACAATATACTTGGACTGTTATGCCCCAGG